TTAGTGGCTGATGGCAGTGTAGCCATCAATGAATGTTTTGCAGTGGCTGGTGGCAGTGTTGCCATCAATGTTTTGTAGTGGCAGGTGGCAGTGCAACCATCAATGTTTTGAAGTGGCTGATGGCAGTGCAACCATCAATGTTTTGAAGTGGCTGGTGGCAGTGTAGCCATCAATGAATGTTTTGCAGTGGCTGGTGGCAGTGTAGCCATCAATGTTTTGTAGTGGCAGGTGGCAGTGCAACCATCAATGTTTTGAAGTGGCTGATGGCAGTGCAACCATCAATGTTTTTTAGTGGCTGATGGCAGAGTAGCCATCAATGTTTTGAAGTGGCAGGTGGCAGTGCAGCCATCAATGTTTTGAAGTGGCTGGTGGCAGTGCAGCCATCAATGTTTTGAAGTGGCTGGTGGCAGTGCAGCCATCAATGTTTTGAAGTGGCTGGTGGCAGTGCAGCCATCAATGTTTTTAAGTGGCTGATGGCAGTGTAGCCATCAATGTTTTGAAGTGGCTGGTGGCAGTGTAGCCATCAATGTTTTGAAGTAGCTGGTGGCAGTGCAACCATCAATGTTTTGAAGTGGCTGATGGCAGTGCAACCATCAATGTTTTTTAGTGGCTGATGGCAGTGTAGCCATCAATGTTTTGAAGTGGCTGGTGGCAGTGCAACCATCAATGTTTTGAAGTGGCTGATGGCAGTGCAGCCATCAATGTTTTGAAGTGGTTTGTGGCAGTGCAGCCATCAATGAATGTTTTGCAGTGGCTGGTGGCAGTGTAGCCATCAATGTTTTGTAGTGGCTGGTGGCAGTGTAGCCATCAATGTTTTGTAGTGGCTGGTGGCAGTGTAGCCATCAATGTTTTGTAGTGGCTGGTGGCAGTGTAGCCATCAATGTTTTGTAGTGGCTGGTGGCAGTGTAGCCATCAATGTTTTGTAGTGGCTGGTGGCAGTGCAGCCATCAATGTTTTGAAGTGGCTGATGGCAGTGCAACCATCAATGTTTTGAAGTGGCTGGTGGCAGTGTAGCCATCAATGTTTTGAAGTGGCTGGTGGCAGTGCAGCCATCAATGTTTTTTAGTGGCTGGTGGCAGTGTAGCCATCAATGTTAGTGGCAAGGGCATCTGTAATTTTTTTGTAGTGGCTGATGGCAGTGCAACCATCAATGTTTTTTAGTGGCTGGTGGCAGTGCAGCCATCAATGTTTTGAAGTGGCTGATGGCAGTGCAACCATCAATGTTTTGTAGTGGCTGGTGGCAGTGCAGCCATCAATGTTTTGAAGTGGCTGATGGCAGTGCAACCATCAATGTTTTGAAGTGGCTGGTGGCAGTGTAGCCATCAATGTTTTGTAGTGGCTGGTGGCAGTGTAGCCATCAATGTTTTGTAGTGGCTGGTGGCAGTGCAGCCATCAATGTTTTGAAGTGGCTGATGGCAGTGCAACCATCAATGTTTTGAAGTGGCTGGTGGCAGTGTAGCCATCAATGAATGTTTTGCAGTGGCTGGTGGCAGTGTAGCCATCAATGTTTTGTAGTGGCAGGTGGCAGTGCAACCATCAATGTTTTGAAGTGGCTGATGGCAGTGCAACCATCAATGTTTTTAGTGGCTGATGGCAGAGTAGCCATCAATGTTTTGAAGTGGCAGGTGGCAGTGCAGCCATCAATGTTTTGAAGTGGCTGGTGGCAGTGTAGCCATCAATGTTTTGAAGTGGCTGGTGGCAGTGCAACCATCAATGTTTTTTAGTGGCTGATGGCAGTGTAGCCATCAATGTTTTGAAGTGGCTGGTGGCAGTGTAGCCATCAATGTTTTGAAGTGGCTGGTGACAGTGCAACCATCAATTTTTTTGAAGTGGCTGATGGCAGTGCAGCCATCAATGTTTTTAAGTGGCTGATGGCAGTGTAGCCATCAATGTTTTGAAGTGGCTGGTGGCAGTGTAGCCATCAATGTTTTGAAGTGGCTGGTGGCAGTGCAACCATCAATGTTTTGAAGTGGCTGGTGGCAGTGCAACCATCAATGTTTTGAAGTGGCTGATGGCAGTGCAACCATCAATGTTTTGAAGTGGCTGATGGCAGTGCAACCATCAATGTTTTGAAGTGGCTGATGGCAGTGCAACCATCAATGTTTTTTAGTGGCTGGTGGCAGTGTAGTCATCAATGTTTTGAAGTGGCTGGTGGCAGTGCAACCATCAATGTTTTGAAGTGGCTGATGGCAGTGCAGCCATCAATGTTTTGAAGTGGTTTGTGGCAGTGCAGCCATCAATGAATGTTTTGCAGTGGCTGGTGGCAGTGCAGCCATCAATGTTTTGTATTGGCTGGTGGCAGTGCAACCATCAATGTTTCGTAGTGGCAGGTGGCAGTGCAGCCATCAATGTTTTGTATTGGCTGGTGGCAGTGTAGCCATCAATGTTTTGTATTGGCTGGTGGCAGTGTAGCCATCAATGTTTTGTAGTGGCAGGTGGCAGTGTAGCCATCAATGTTTTGTATTGGCTGGTGGCAGTGTAGCCATCAATGTTTCGTAGTGGCAGGTGGCAGTGCAGCCATCAATGTTTTGTATTGGCTGGTGGCAGTGTAGCCATCAATGTTTTGTAGTGGCTGGTGGCAGTGCAACCATCAATGTTTTGCAGTGGCTGGTGGCAGTGCAACCATCAATGTTTTGTAGTGGCTGGTGGCAGTGTAGCCATCAATGTTTTGTAGTGGCTGGTGGCAGTGCAACCATCAATGTTTTGCAGTGGCTGGTGGCAGTGCAACCATCAATGTTTTGCAGTGGCTGGTGGCAGTGCAACCATCAATGTTTTGCAGTGGCTGGTGGCAGTGCAGCCATAAATGTTTTGAAGTGGCTGATGGCAGTGTAGCCATGAATGTTTTGTAGTGGGTGGTGGCAGTGCAGCCATGAATGTTTTGTAGTGGGTGGTGGCAGTGTAGCCATGAATGTTTTGCAGTGGCTGGTGGCAGTGCAACCATCAATGTTTTGTAGTGGTTGGTGGCAGTGTAGCCATCAATGTTTTGCAGTGGCTGATGGCAGTGCAGCCATGAATGTTTTGTAGTGGGTGGTGGCAGTGTAGCCATGAATGTTTTGCAGTGGCTGGTGGCAGTGCAGCCATCAATGTTTTGTAGTGGTTGGTGGCAGTGT